AGTACATCAGGGTCGACGTGGAGCTCCATGACCCTCAGGATTTACACCGCGCCATGCGCTTGGCTCGGGCTTATGAGCGTCGTCAGGCGTCAGCAACCGCCCTCGCGCTTCCAGCACCACCAAGCCGCCAGTCTCGGCGCGTTCCGGCGGTACAAATCGCATTACCGGCTCCAGGGGTCGCCCCGCCATCATCACCAGCCTCGGCGTCCCCCCCAACCCGGTCTTTCAAACAGCTCACACCAGTAGAGATGGCAGACCGCCGCAAGTTGGGCTTGTGTTATAACTGTGACGAACCATATGTGCAGGGACACAAGTGTCAGCGGCTGTTTTACCTTGAAGTCACAGATTATCTTATGGAGGAGCCAGAGTCCGATGACGATGAATGACGTCGGCCAATGCAAGCATGCATAAACCCACCATATCATTATCGACCATTGCGAGCATCGGACCGAGGATACTATGCGGGTTTATGTCCGTGTGAGCAACGTCACGGTGTGTGGCGTTGTTTGGATTCGGGCTCTACTCACACATTCATCACGGCAACGTCGCACGCACGCGTTGGCATCCACTTTGAACCATGCCCAGTGCCGAGTCACGGTCGCAAATGGTGACCGCGTAACTCCGGGGGGCTCTCGCGACGCTTCGGATATACTGAATTCGTCAAGAAGTCTTCTCGGTCGTCATCGCTATACCATCCCATTGGACCATTGGGACATGGTGCTCGGTCAACTTCTTGCGCACCCTCGAACCGATATTGTGGGACTTTGATGACTTGTGCATCGCGTTCACCACAGCAGTCGACGCGTGTTCTGGGCGCCATATCGGCTCCACCCAAGATGACGTGCGATCCACTCGCCGCCTCCCATGCTCTTCACGACACGGGCCGTACCACCGAATAAAGAGATTGCTTGACAAGCTACTCAACTCCTTTGAAGATGTGTTCGCGCACGCCAAGGCTTGCCCACTTTCGCGCTGTGATCACCGCATTCACCTAGTGCCCAATGCGGTACCAGATGGGCTGTGAGGCCTTACCGCTACCCACAACTACTGTAGAAGAATAACTGAATCCCAATGCGCCGCTATGCTACAAATGGGGATGATCCGTCCCAAGATTTCACTTTCTCTGCTCTGCTTTGTTGGTCAAGAAACATGACGGCTCTTGGAGGTTCTCAGGTCGATTACCATGCCTTGAACAAGCTCACCGTTAAAGACAAATTCCCAATTCCGATGGTTGAAGAACTACTTTGGATGAGCTCCATGGGGCACGGTTTTTCTCCAAAACTGGACTTATGCTCGTGGTACCATCAAATTCGTATGCATCTTGATGACATTGAGAAGACGGCCTTCAACTCATGAGGGTCACTTGAGTTCTTAGTCATGCCTTTGGGTCATCCAATGCACCGCAACATTCCAAAGCCTCATGAACACAAAGGTTCGCCTGCTCTGCGTAAGTTTGTACTTGTGTTTTTCGACGACATCTTGATCTATAGTCCATCTTGGTCCACACATCTCGCAAAGACCTCAACGCAGTCTTCATCGCCCTCGTAACCATCACCGCGGTTGAAAAGATCTAAATGCGACTTTTGCTACGACATCGGTTCATTATCCGGGACATGTAATATCTGCACTGGGGTTGCAATGGATCGAGAGAAGGTTGCGGCCGTCGCTACACCGCCTCAACTCGGCAATGTCCGTGTTTCCGGGGTTTCTCGGCCTCGCCGGTACTATCGTCGGTTCATTCAAGATTACGGCTTGGTGGTCGCACCATTATTAGCCAAGCTCAAGAAAGAGGCTTTATGTGGTCATCTGCACCACCGACGCTTTCAATGCCCTCAAAAAAGGCCCCATCCAAAGGTGCCGGTTCTTCAACTTCCCGATTGGGACAAATCATTCATCGTCGATTGTGATGCCTCCGGCTCTGGATTCGCGCAAGCGATGATTTCATCAAGGCGGAGGTGCCTTGGCGTTCTTCAGTAGACCCTTCGCAGCTCGGCACAAGTTAGCCGCATATGAGAGGGAACTCATCGGCCTTGTCCAAGCAGTTCAGCACTGGCGTCCGTATTTATGGGGCAGGCAGTTTATTGTGCGCACAGACCATTAAGAGTTGAAGTTCTTGTTGGATCAACGGCTCTCTACAGTTCCCCAACATCAGTGGGTGAGTAAGCTCTTTGGGTATGATTTCACGATTGAATATTGGCCGGGCACCCTCAATATCGTGGCCGATGCATTGTCTCGGAGGGAGGGGGACGATTTGCTGCTTCATGCAGTCACGGCGCCTTCCTTTCAGTTATTCGACGACCTACGCCATGAATGCAATTGGATGATGATGACGTCGCGTCTGTGCTGCGACTCCATTGTGACCAACCGGGGTGAGCCCTGGTGTCTCGCTGATGGTCTGATCATGCGCGCGGACCGTGTGTTTGTCCCAGCAAAGCCCTCAATTCTTCCCGCTGTTCTCCAGTTGGCGCACGGTGTTGGTCATGAAGGCGCACAGAAGACGCTGCAGCGCCTTCGTCAGGAGTTCGTGATCGACCATGACCGTCGCCTTGTCCGGGACTTCGTGAGCTCTTGTTTCACATGTCGTGAAAATAAAACCGACCATCTACACCCTACCGGTCTCCTTCACCTTTGGAGGTTCCTCGCAAGTTTGGTCTCGATATTTTCATGGATTTCGTGGAAGGCCTTCCGCGTGTACATGGGAAAAGTGTGATTCTAACGAAGGTTGATGATTTTCCAATCGGGCTCATTTTTACCACCGAGTCACCCATACACGCAGCGTCGTCACACACGGAGTGTTCTTTGAGGCGTCGTCCGACTTCATGGTTTTCCCAAGATACATTGTTAGTGATCGCGATCCAAAGATTTACGGGGGCATGTTTGGCGCGATATCTTCGTGCTCATTGGGTAAAGCTAAAGATGAGTACAGCTTTTCACCCACAAACCGATGGACAATCCGGTGGTCAATCGTACAATTGCTATGTATCTGCGATGTCTAATCGGTGATCGCCCTCGCTCTTGGCTTCAGTGGCTTTCGTGGGCTGAATATTGTTACAACACTTCATTCCACTCTCACTTTGACAACGCCGCTTGTGTGGTCTATGGCGGCCTCCACCGCCTCTGTTGCCTTATCTTTGCCGTCATGGCACGGCAAGCGAGTATAGGGTGGACCAGCTTCTAGGTGATCGTGACAAGTTTCTCGCCGATGTTCGTGATCGATTGATGCAAGCCCAGGAGTATGCCAAAAGGCATTATGATGCTCACCACCGCCCTCTTCAGTTTGACGTCGATGATTGGGTTCTCCTGCACCTTCTCCATCGGCCAGCACAGACCTTGGTGCCAGGTTTCCGTGGCAAGCTTAGTCCACGATTTGCTGGTCCATTTCAGGTCATTGAGTGCATTGGCGAAGTGGCATATCACCTGCGTCTTCCGGAGGGTGCTCGGATTCATGATGTGTTCCATGTTGGGGTTCTCAAGCCGTTTCGGGGAACTCCACCATCCACTACACCACCGCTTCCTCCTCTTCGTCATGGCCGGGTACTTCACGATCCAACACTGAAAGAACGTCTTTGAGATATGAATGGATTTAAGTGCCTTTCATGGAAAGAACGTCTCAGGTTAACGAGAAAGACATCATTGAAAACCTCCAACACTAAAAGAAGATGAATAGCAAGCACATCACAGGTTAATGAGACATATATCATCACAACCTCGGCATTCTGTGGAAATATTAGGATTCACATGCAACCTTTGAACAGAGATTGACAGAACTAAATGAAGACACCAAAAACCATAAACAAGAAAAGGGAAACATACCAAACTAGTGAGAGTGGAGGTTCTCAGCCTTGAGTTATGAATGGATTAGGTGTCTTTAATAAAGATGTATCAGGTTAACGAGAAAGACATCATTGCAGCCTCCCAATATTGTAAAATAGGCATGCACATGCTGGGATGCAGCAAGGCACAAAAGGCGAATGAAAAAGATGGTTACAAAAGTGTGCAACACCCTCAACTTGTTGTCTTCGGACAATATCGATGCTGCTCAGTTATAGTTTTTGAATGGATAGATGCTATCCTCATAGTATGTCTCAGGTTAACAAGAAGTCCATCATGACAGCCACGCAAACCGTAAGCAAACTACAAACTGTAATGTGAACATTTGCTTGCACTTAACATGATGTTTGATGTGATCAGCACTATATTTTGGAATGGAACTACTGTTAAATTAACCAATCTACAACATAGGCAAATCAACAAAACAAGAAACTTAGCTTGGAAACAGCAGCGGAAGCAGAAAATGTAGAAAGGAATAACGCAATAGCAGCAGCAGATTATGGAACTGGAGGTGCTCAGCAGCTTATTATTCAAATGAATATCATCATCACCATCATCATACTAGCAGTGTATGCTTAACAAGTAGGTCTCAATGGGAGGGAGGGAGGGATAGATTGGTAATATAGTGTATATCTAGGTGCATAGCAAAAGCTATGTATCTAGAAAAGCCAAAACGACTTATAATTTGGAATGGAGAAGACACACACACACACACACACAGAAGTTCTTGAAAAGGCAAGGCGTCAGGAGTCCATTGATGAAAAGGGGCTGGGGAAAGCTTGAACCCAAGTCCTACAGTGATCATCATGGCAGCCTCCAGTTCCCAATGGTTGCATGGATTTCCATGCCGGTAAGGAATAAACAAATAAGAAAAAACAAAAACACCATGGTAACCACTGCCACCACCACGCCCCACCATCACCAACCCCACAGACACCAGAATTTTCATCACAAGTATGAAGTTATTTACCTTGCTATGAAAGCGTGTAACTTTTCAAGCACACATAGTGAACAGCTCACCATGACAACAAAGATAAGGTATGAGGGCAAATCAGTTAACTGCTTCCATGAAACAATGTGTGTATGATTTACCTGGGTTGAGAAGTTGTCAAGTACTAAATGGGGGTATGCTTCTGACATTTTTTTCCATTGCATTCCTGCCTTTAATATCATGCCGTGTCACCTGACCACAACAACCAAAACTAAGGATACAACCAAGTTCGAGCGCTCATTTTGTACACTTGTGCTACACAACATCTCAGCATATATACACTTCCAAAAAGGTTAAGCACACCTACCACATTGAGCAACCCAAAGTATGCAGTTGGACCATTCGGTAGATGGGAGACGATCAAACCATCAGGTTGACCACGATGTTCATGCACCAAAATAAGATCAGTGATATCATGCAACCGGCATGACTCAACGATTTCTGATATAACCTGCAAATCAGTAAAAAGTGAAGAACAAACACCACGACAACAAAATACTAGAGTGTAAGCAGTAAAGCAAAGAAATCGTGTGCAGCAATATGTTCAGTTATTTACTACCTATAAAAATCATGGACAAGTTCTAATTTCTTGCAAGGAATGCATAGCAGGTACTGGATATGGTAAACAAAAGAACAATAGCATGCTAACTCCAGCTGCAATATACCTGGCCACCACGGTTCATTCTTTGTGACATGGGGAAGACAACCTTCAGCTTCTAGGAAGAGAAGCTGAACGGGCAGTTAGCTGAATGCAATGCACCATTTGGACCTACGGAAAGCACCCAAAAGTTTTCAGGACAACAGAAATACCTTAACAAACTGAGTTAGGGCGGCGCTGGGATTGCGAGACGTGGTCAAGAGTACCTTGGGCTCCCTAACTGAGGCAGTAGCGTACTCGTTATCGACCATGCTCTTAGGAACTGTAGCACCGAATGACCAATCCAAACAACAACAGAGCAACACATCGTTAGACAGATCTCCCTACAAACAAATGTAAATGAGCAAGGACACTGCATTCCACTCGCTCGAGCAAAAAAGAAGCCATGGGATGGAGCCGGGGGTACAGGAACAACACGCACCTCGAGGCTCCTGGTCCTCGAGGTCGATCTGCCTCCGCAGCTCGTGCTCCTCGTTGCGGAGCTCGGTGGGGATGGGATTGCCCTCCTCGAGCACCGCCCGGATGCGGCCCTTCTTCTCGAACAGCGCCCGCTGGGAGGCCTCGACGCTCTTGGAGTACAGGTACCGCCGCCGGTCCCGTATACGCCGCCGTATCATCTTCGCTTCCCACCTCCTCCTCTCCGCTTGCGCAGGACCAGACTCAGCAAAACCCTAGGCGTGTGATCTAGGCGGAGGCGATAAACCCTAGCAGCTCAGTTTCGTTCTTCTCCAGCGTTGGCGGCGGCGGCGGCGGCGGCGGAGTTGGCGCTCCTCGACTTAATAGCTACGAATATGGGCCTATATGGCTTGCACGACTGGCCATTTGTCTCTTCGCTAGGGGACTCACGAGCATCTCCACTGGAAAAAAAAAATAGGATTTTGGGTTGCAAAATTTATTGGCCAAGAAAAAAAAGGTTTTTCTAGTCACCTATATTTGGTAGCTGTATAAAAAACTTTTAGAAATGGGTCATATATCAGATGGACCATCTTGCGCCTTAGAGCAACCATAATATATATGGACCAAGTAGTCCATACATATGAGACCTACATAACCAGTCCATAACTATTATTTTGTTTCCATAATGTTTCAGCCAATAAGTAGTATATAAGGTGGGTCAAATCTAAGATAAAAAATTATTCATTCATCTCTACAATCCTATGCAAGATCAAGAAAGAGAAAGAGAGGAGAAAGATAAAGTAACATTTTTTATTCTTTATGAGTAGTACATAAGCTTATGGGTACTTTTTGCTATGGACTACTCTATGAACCGGTCTCACAGTGTTTCAGCTAGCTGGTAGGTATTATTTTACTCATTATGGATTGCTTTTGAGCAACATTGTGGTTGCCCTTATAATTGGAGAACTAGAATGGCATTTAATGTATGCATAAGAATTGTCTAGTGTGTATTAACAGTTGTAACTGTCTGTCCGGACAATACAATAACAGACCATTCGGTGGCTCGGGTTGCAGACTATCATGTCATGACATGTGTCCAAAACTTCGATAAGGCCGACAGGGACAATTTCATGCACCTCTGGCTTGTGTTTTGGATTTGATTTGTTGCTATGGCCTCCTAAGACTATGGAGAACTAATTCTAAGTGTTGAATTTTATAGGCATGAGTATTTGGGGGCTCCACCTAACAATGGAGATATGTGCTATTGGAGGGGCATGGAGCTCATGGAAACAATGTTGGGAGGTGCTCTACCTGCAACACCTTTCCTCGGGGTAGCTTGTGGAAGGAGTAAATTGCCGAAGTTCATTTATGGTGGCTTGAGAATGAAGGTGACTCGGTGCCTCCACCTCCAATCTACATGCGGTTGAGGGCATGGATAAGGTGGAGTAGTTCATCAGCGATGGCCTTTGGTGAGGTGAGGTCCTCCTCCCATCTTCTTTTCCTTCATCCTATTCTCTTTTGTTATCCCTTTTCTTTTCTTTGTTTGGATCTAGGTGAGAATGGAGTGAGTGTGAGGACTGATTGTTGGGGGTTGGTAAGGGGGCTAATATGTGAGGCTAGAGGAGAGCATATGTGTCGGGTTCATAAGCCCGGGGTCCCTCATGGCCCGGCTTCCCAATAAAGGCTCGGCCCAGCAAGTAACGTTGCAAACAACGCACAACTCATGGGCCGGCCCAAGTACCTAAATGATAGGCCAGAAGGGCGATCCAATCACCGACCGGAAGGCCTGGCCGAGGAGGAACGGCGCCCGTTTCTGACTCCGGGCCACCTCTCCGACAGGAGCGCTCGCTTCGGTCTCCAGCCCGCCTCCGGACAGCCTCTCCGACCGGAAGGCCTGGCCAAAGCACTACTTCTGACTCCAACCCGCGTCTCTGACTGGGGATGCACCAAACCACTGCTCACTGCTCTTCACTAACTGGCACATTCAGAGCCGACTGGGACCAACCGATCAGGGATGCCCGCTCGGTAAGGAACAGAAAACGGACGGAGAAAGTAAGGCAGGGCACACAAGTCAAACCGCAATACCAGGGACCGTACCCTGTACACCTGCAGAAACAGTACTCTGCGACCTCCCTGGCACGACAAAACCCAAGCAGTGTTGTAGGCGCTGACATTTTCCCCTACAGTATTGTGGGCGCCATTAACTCCCATACGGTAAGGCGCCCCCCATATGCCTCTGGGCATCAACAGTATTATGGACGCCGACATTTACCGTACCAGGCGAACATGGTAAAACCCCTTGCATGCCTCTAGATATCAACAGTGTGGCAGGCGCCGACGTCTGCCATACCTAAAGAAGACAACACGACCTCCCACGTGCATCTGACATACAACAGTATTGTGGGCACCTATCATCATTCTGTACCCACCGGCGTGGGCAACAAGGCTTAGTAGCATACGTACTCTCTCCCTCTCACTTGTAAGGCCATCTCCTTCATTTATAAAAGGGGATGCGTTCTCTCCCAACAGGTAGATTCATTAGATTGATCAAGTTCACTAGGACACAATAGCAGAACCACTAGGTTCAAACCACGAGCACACGCTCGAACACTTAGCTTATAGCAGAGCTCCCGTCGCTCTCGGTCCCTCTGACCAGAGTCCGACCGGACCTCTTGTACCCCCATCTTTCTCCTCCTCGTTTGTAACCCCACTGCAAACTTCGAGCACCTAGGCTCAGGAATAAAGTCACCGACCGACTCAAACTGGACGTAGGGCACGTTGTCTGAACCAGTATAAACCCTATGTCATTGAGTGTTAGGCCACCTCCGATCACAATGTACGGTAAAACTACAAATATTTACCTGTTGGTCACTTTCTGCACCGACAGTTGGCGCCGTTCGTGGGGAAGACGATGTACGTTCAACACTTTTTGGTCATCGGATAGCTCACTTTTCTGCCACCTTCGCCATGGCGGGCTTAAGCGATACTACTCGCTTTGGCTCACTGGAGTTGCCCGCACTCCCACCTGTTGGGATGTGGGTTCCACCCGTCTTTGAGCCATCCCAGGCCTTCCTCTTCGGAAGCCTGGACTTCGTCGTCGACCGGCTTGGCATACTACACCTTCACGAGGAGGCACTCATTCCGGCGCCCATCGGAGGGGTGCCCTCCATCGGCTCTAGGACGCACGACGACTTCAACGACAAGGCATCTATGCTTCATTCCGAGCAAACTCTCTGCTCAAACCCCGCTGTGAGTAATATGCATACTGTTATTTACTCTTTATTTACTATCTCCTGCCGATTATCCAGAGGGACCGTATTGATCGCACCACGAACACCGTACGATCGGTTCCCCTACGGCCTCATGTCCCCTGCGGACGCGTGCGCTCGAGGGCTCCGAAGGACGCTGGCGCCATCCCCTCTCACATCCAAATTCGTGGGAATGGCGAGCTATGCTCCTACCACTTTCCACGAACTCCCAAATGACGAGGGTGAGAGCGATGGCTCCAGCATCGGCGATGTGGCACCTAGCCACCGTCTGGCCCAGGAGTGCACTATGGCGGACCCTCCGAGATAGCCACCTGTGGTTGTGGACTCTGTGCAGACTCACCCCTTTGGACCAGCGTGCGGGGGCCCTCGCGTTAGCGCAAGAGCACGCCGAGGAACTACGATAACGGCGGCAGAACCAGCCGTCGCCTGCGCCGGCGTGCTCGGTGCGGCATGTTGCGCCCCATGCGCATGACTCAGCGGGAGGCGCCCAGGGTTGTGCTCGTCAGGTCCAACATGACATCATGAACGAGGGAACGATCCCCCACAGTTCGCTTAGGCTAGCTAGAACATCGCTGCTGCGGTAATGCTTCTGCGCGACGTTCCCAAGCCCGTCGACCCCCAGGAGCGGGCATTCTATCGGAACCTCCGGGTGCTGGTAGAAGCCGCCGCTGTTCAACGGAAAGCTCTGCATCGTGACTCCGACATGCGCCCTCTCTCCCCACCGGGGGAGTGGGGACGCACCAGGTGGATCGCTCCATCCGCTCGCCGCTACAGCCGCCAAGTGCGGCTCGGGAGGCAGTGGCCGCGCCGTGGTCCGACCTGGCGCCTGCTCTACACCGACTGCCGATACACGAACGGCCCGGTTCGCACCAAGACGCTCGCAGCAGCATCAGCAACCGGTATCAGGGCAGGCGATGAGGGCAGGCGATACGGGTCCCGAGCAAACCATCGAGGGGAGCAGTGAAACACGCCCCAGGCATGGTCGCCAGCCAGACGACCAAAGTCCCAACCCTGAGGGCCTGGGACCACGGGCCTTTGACCGGTGTATCCGGAGAGCGCCGTTCCCACGCGCTTCCGACCACCCACCAACATCACCAAGTACACCGAGGAGACAAACCCCGGTATTTGGACTCGAAGATTTCTGGCTCGCCTGCCGAGCCGGAGGGGTGGATGATGACTATTTCATCATTCAGTATCTCCCCATCTGCATGGGGGAACATGTTCGGGCATGGCTTGAATTCCTCCCGCATGACAGCATCCACGATTGGGCGAACCTCAAGAGGGTCTTCGTCGGAAATTTCCAGGGGACGTATGTCTGCCCTGGAAACTCCTAGGACCTCAAGAGCTATCAGCAGGAGCCCAGTGAGTCCCTACGGGATTACATCCGCAGGTTCTCCCAATGATGCAACTCCATCCCTGATGTCATTGACGTGGACATCATCAGCGCATTCCTCTCTAGGATGACCTGCGAGTCCCTGATCCACAAGCTTAGCTGCCTGAAGCCCCGTACCACCCGCGACCTGCTCGACGTCGCCACTAACCACGCCTCTGCCTAGGAGGCGGTCTTCAACGGAGGCTAGGACAAAGGCAAGGCCAAGTGCATGGACCAAGACGAGGGCCCCTCCACACAGAGGGGCAAGAAGAACAAAAAGAATCGGCGCCGATCGGACAACACCGCGTTGGTTGCCGCGGCTGATTGCACGGGCAAGCAGCCCCCAACAGGGACTGCCTGACCACTTCAACAAGCTCATGGACAGCCCGTGCACCAACCATGCCTACCCCATCAAACACCTCTACAAGGATTGCGAGCTCCTCAAATGTTTCCTACGACAGGCCGATGGGCCAAAAGGAGACGGCAAAGAGGCGGCAGCCAAGAAAGGAGGCGCAGCGGGCAAGGACGGAGACGACTTCCTCGACCCTGAGGAATGCATCATGATCTTCGATGGATCCGA